CAACAGACCGTGAAGATCGCCGCCTAAGATTATTCGCCTTAAGGGACCGTTTCTCCACTACCAGGTCCATTGCAAATGAATGGTTTGCAGAACACGGAAGACCTATTGGCATGCGAAGTGTTTACCGACGAATGAGAAGTGTTGGCTTGTTTTCATACTGGCCACACTGGGTCCTCCCTTTAACTCGAGAACACCGACGTAATCGCCTTGAGTGGTGCAGACAACGGTCACTCTGGGATCAGGAATGGAACAGTATTGTCTTTAGTGACGAGTCTCGATTTTGTTTAGGCATGCACGATGGTCGTGCCAGGGTTAGAAGGCGACGTGGACAGTTTTTTGTTGAAAGACATGTTCATCACACTGTTGGAGTTATGGTTTGGGGTGCTATAGCTTATGGTTCCAGGTCACTTTTAATCTTCATCAGAGGTAACATGAACGCGAAGCGTTATATCCACGAAGTTGTAGAACCCCATCTTTTACCCTATCTTGACACCCTGACAGGTCCAACTTTCCAACGAGATAATGCCCGACCACATGTTGCAAGAGTCACAATAGACTTCTTTCAACATAATGATGTCACATTGTTACCATGGCCACCAAGATCGCCCGACTTATCCCCAATTGAGCACGTGTGGGATATGATGGGTAGGAGATTGCTCAATTTGCAACGTCCTCCTCAGACTCTAGAAGCACTTCGAGAGGAGTTGGTGGTTGCCTGGAATGAGATACCACAGGAGGACATTGACCACCTGATCAGAAGCATGCCTACGCGCGTTGGAGAATGCGTAGCACATCAGGGTGCATCCACACATTATTAAAGGTCAAAGGGCTTTAAAGCAGTGCAATCATTTTGAAATTTTTATCATTTACTTATTATGCTTCATTAAGTACTTATACACAATTTTATTAAAATAAAACCATTTAAACATGTAGTTTCCGGAATGAATAAGAAAAAGTGGATGAACCACTAAATTCTAGCTTTGAATACAACTCAAATAAGTCAATTTGAGACAAGAAACCGATAGAATTATCATCAAAACAGATTACTAGCAAACAAATCCTCACTATGGATCTATGCGCTGAAGTTTTCCTCCAGCTCTAGTAGACAACTTACAGTTTAGACCCCTTGAAGCAGATGTTTCATCACATTGGAGCCAAACATTGACAGCTGAAGCATCATGACATTTAGGCTACACGTAGAGCTACAAAGCGAGTTCACAACAAGTGTACAATAGCTAGTGCTAAGCTGATATCTTGTAGAAAAGCCTACGTTATGTCACAAAAAACCAATAAAATGTCAAAAAACGACAAAATGTCACTTTTCAAGGTACGTAATACCCGTGCCGTTTAAAAAATGAATAGATGGAGATATCATTTTGAAACCCACTGTATATCGTCGGCTTCTACTAAGTACGCATAACTTGAATAGGCAATCGCAATAATCGTAGGTGAAGACGTAATTTGATCGTTCTGTAAGAAATGGTGAGAGAGTCGATATAAAAGAATGTGTCCATTCACCATATTTGGAAACAGTTATGCAACTTTGTAGTTGCGATCGTATTGTAAAAATTGGCGAGAGAGTCGACATAAAAGAGTGTCACATTCACCATATTTGGAAACAGCTATACAACCGTAGTTTTGATTGTTCTGTAAAAATGGTGCATGAGTCAATATGAGAGTTTGCGCATTCACCATATTTTGAAACAGTTATACAACTTTACTTTTTGCTAATTGACTGCAAAAAGCAATAGATGTTTAAAAAAGACGAGTCGCTTTAAAATATATATAGAACTCAAATAAAACAATTTCAGACAAGAAACCGATAGAATTATCATCAAAACTGATTACTAGCACACAAAGCCTCACTATGCATCTATGCACTGAAGTTTTCCTCCAGCTCTAGTAGACAACCTACAGTTTAAACCACTGAAGCAGATGTTTCATCACATTGGAGCCAAACATTGACAGCTGAAGCGTCATTACGTTTAGGCTACACGTAGAGCTACAAAACGAGTTCCCAACAAGTGTACAATACATCTTGTAGAAAAACCTACGTTATGTCAGAAAAAAACCAATAAAATCTCAAAAAACGACAAAATGTCACTTTTCAAGGTACGTAATACCTGTGCCGTTTAAAAAATGGATAGATGGAGAGATATTTTTGAAACCCACTGTATATCGTCGGCTTCTACTAAGTACGCATAACTTGAATAGGCAATCGCAATAATCGTAGGTGAAGACGTAATTTGATTGTTCTGTAAGAAATGGCGAGAGACTCGATATAAAAGAATGTGCCCATTCACCATATTTGGAAACAGTTACACAACTTTGTAGTTGATCGTTTTGTAAAAATCGGCGAGAGAGTCACCATATTTGAAAACAGTTATACAACAGTAGTTTTGATTGTTCTGTAAAAATGGTGCAATATGAAAGAGTTTGCTCATCCAGCATATTTTGAAACAGTTATACAACTTTACTTTTTGCTAATTGACTGCAAAAAGCAATAGATGTTTAAAAAAGACGAGTCGCTTTAAAATATATATACAACTCAAATAAAACAATTTGAGACAAGAAACCGATAGAATTATCATCAAAACAGATTACTAGCACACAAATCCTCACTATGCATCTATGCACTGAAGTTTTCCTCCAGCTCTAGTAGACAACTTACAGTTTAGACTCCTGAAGCACATGTTTCATCACATTGGAGCCAAACATTGACAGCTGAAGCGTCACGACGTTTAGGCTACACGTAGAGCTACAAAACGAGTTCCCAACAAGTGTACAATACATCTTGTAGAAAAACCTACGTTATGTCAGAAAAAAAACAATAAAATGTCAAAAAACGACAAAATGTCACTTTTCAAGGTACGTAATACCCGTGCCGTTTAAAAAATGAATAGATGGAGATATCATTTTGAAACCCACTGTATATCGTCGGCTTCTACTAAGCACGCATAACTTGAATAGGCAATTGCAATAATCGTAGGTGAAGGCGTAATTTGATCGTTCTGTAAGAAAAGACGAGAGAGTCGATATAAAAAAATGTGCCCAGTCACCATATTTGGAAACAGTCACACAACTTTGTAGTTGATCGTTTTGTAAAAATTGGCGAGAGAGTCGACATAGAAGAGTGTACCATTCACCATATTTGGAAACAGTTATACATCAGTAGTTTTGATTGTTCTGTAAAAATGGTGCAAGAGTCAATATGAATGAGTTTGCTCATTCACCATATTTTTAAACGGTTATACCACTTTTTGCTAATTGATTGCAAACCGCGATAGATGTTTAAAAAAGACGAGTCGCTTTAAAATATTTTCTCTGTAGGGGTTGAATACCTCCCCTTTCGAAATAAGACAGCACAAAGTGCCATCTATACATATATTTCTTTATTTGTATTAAGTATATTATTATAGATACAAATTAAAATATCCGAATTTCTGTGTTACTCATTAGCTGCGAACCAAGAAAATTGATCATTTTATGTACAAGATTTTACCCTGCGTAATATCTGCAATGCACTGTTTTCTCTCATTGAAAGAAAAGGCTGTTAGTTACGAAAACGAAATTAATAAAATAAAACAAATATTAAGAGGATTAAATAAAAATATATTCAGAAATCATACATTTTGTTATTTACAACAAAAAAGACCATAAATCATAGCTAAATGATTAATAAATAAATATAGAATAAAAAATATAGAGTAGAATAAATACGATATTTACAGAAAATTAATATACAAATAAGTATAACAAGGAACTTGATACAAATACAAGACCCGTAGTCTTATTTGTTGAGGGACAAATTGTTGAATATTCAGGCATTTTTTGTAAAAAAATATGTGTAACAGAAATGAGCCTGATTGACAAAGGATTTGATAGATTCGAGAAATATATTTTTTACATTGCTGTTATCAAATCCATATCATACGTCAACGTTCCTTTACCGTTAATTACTTCAAAAATATATCGAGTAATACATTTTGACACCGTGAGACAAATTATGTACAAATTATAAAATTGGGCTTCAAAATATCAGGAAATGAAGTGTTGAGCGACTAAGTGATCACAAGAATTCATTGTTTATTTAGTTTTTTGTGTTTGTAATACAGTTTTAACGCTTGTCAAACAGATTTCTCGCATTTTCTTAAAAAGCAGACAAACTTGACATATGTTGACCAGCGTGATTTCAAGAAATCGACAGGTTAGAGATACTGGATCGTTATTTCTTTATCATTTAGTATATTCATATACATATATCTCATATCTTCGTCATTCACGTTTCGGATTTTTTCGATTATCCCTGCGTCTTATTCCATTTTAATATGAAACTTTTTCAATATAAAACCTTCGCAGCTGGAAGGGTGGTAATTTCGACGAGGTTCCTGGTGTGATGTCTGAATTCCGTTAAGCCGACAGCTTGGCAGACAGCCAAGAACTCCTTATACATTGCGATTTGTCGGGACTTGCTCTATTAAATAGTTTTATATCTGCCAGGTACACTCGGGCCAGCGTTCGGAGATTCTCGTTATGAAAAATTTGCCTAAGGTGATTTTTTTTGTATGGTACTATGCAAATGGAAAGGACAAAGTGCAAGCAAAAGAAGTTTGGTGTTTCTATACATCTCTCTACAAAAAATTAGTTCCTGACTGCCCATCACATACCTGAGGAGCAAAGCCCATAGACATACCGATAGAAAAGAGCCAGATCGTCGACGACGAAAGGATTCCGAGATGGTCCGTTAGAGAAAAGTCACCGATCATTGCACTGAGCATGGATAATGTAGTCGGGACGGCAGCACCCCAAGCATGTGAGCAGTATTCGAGGTTAGGTCTTATCTGGACCTTGTACTGAGTAAGGAGGTGATGTGTACCTAAAGTACTGTGTTTTGGAAGCTTTAAACTGTACCAGATTGTTGCGTCTTCAAGCAGTGATAAGCTCCAGATCTCTCTTCAGAGAAAAAGCCGCTGCAAGTCTTCTTCTCTAACTGGCAAAGACCGGCTAAGCACCGCGTTGCAAAGCTTCTCCGACTATTTTGCATGGTCGTGTTGGTGAAAATGTCCGAACATCCACAAAAAAACTCCCCAGAGCATAATTACGAAAAACGTGGTGGCGAAACCTGAACATGCGTCAAATAAAAACACGCCCTAAGGGAATACTCGGCGTTTTTTCATTCAGCATTCTTTCCACGCTTTCCACGGCAGGGCTGCGACTCGTCGAGATTGGAAAATGTGGAAAAGTAACTCGGGCCGGTTTAAATTCGTGTTAAACGAAGTTTGGGACACGGGGAACGTTATCAAAAACTCGTCAAGAGGCGGGGTATGAAATTTCTGATACACGTTGACTGTCAATTCGAACGGAGAGTCTCATATTTTTGATAATGTGAGAATTTTGACGAAAGCTACCATGAACTTTGTTTGAAGAAGATGCTGTGGCCACTAAATGTGAGGCATGATTAGTAAAAACATCGGGTCACGCGATTCAAATCGTGGTCTTTTGGCAACAACATACCTTTGCAATCAGTAGTCCAATTTTAACTGTTTAAACATCGTTTCACTCCTTTTAAAGAACACATATTCTACGACTACGCATTTTTAAATCAACCAGTAGTTATTTAGATATACTAAGGTCTTCAAGTGCCAATAATTTGCACAGGTGTTGGAATTTAAAACGTCATTTAGAAGTGTAAGATGGTTGGTAGATAAAGAAATCAATTTCGAACAGTTAAATCTATTGTACACCACATTCCAAGTATCTGCATCTCGATTCAAGATCAAAATTTAAGAGAACCTAGGTAGCATATTTACTCCAACATAATGATAATAAAACATAACATACACCAGGTACCGACCTAGTTGTCGGATACGCAGCATTCTGGCCTCCTAAGTTAACCATTATCGATCTAGTAGGCTTCCGTCAAGCTGGGATGTGTCGATTAAACGACCTGGAACGGCAGTGTTTTGTTACGGGAGGAAATTGAAACATCGCCTACTTGATATTGCCGGCCGATATTAACAATCCAATTTCATCAAACCACAACCCGGGTGTCGATATATCGACTGTCACTCAGTTGACTGGAAATGTGGAGAGTCGAACATCGATGTGAAATGCGGGATTTTCGAGCAATAAACTATTTTTGTGTTTTGTTATGCTCTTATTTAAAACCAAACAGTAGCAGTAAATTTTCTACTCATTTACTATAAGGAGTTAAGAATCTTTCTGACACTATAACGAAAATGGTTGACCTAGCTCTTATCAACAATAGCTATTTACCTTGCAATGGCCGATTGTGGTAACAGATGGAACTCAAATTCAAAAATCTGATAGACGTCAACTTTGCTATGGCTTTCGGCGAGTGAAATAATTCTCTTATGGGATGGGTTAAAAATGGAATCGTTAACAAGTTCTAACCTGCAATCTTCCACAAATATTCTTTAATTCTAAAAGTCTTACTTATTTTGGTTAGATCGTCTTAAACAACAGTTCCGATGAGCTTGCGATCTATGTAAGTTCATTGTTAAATAGTTTGTACTTGATAAGAATACAGTAAAGATTTTCAGTCTTCGATAAAGTCTCATGGAGAAGAAAATTTTACAATAAATAATGTTAAACACAATATAAAAGGAAAATTAACCACAATGTACGGTGATTCGGTACAAAACAAAAACGGTGCATCTACAACTACTTTGCAAATTTTTGTAAATGCTGTGAAGCGTAATTTCGCAAATTTATTCTTTCATACGAACGTTGAGAATGAGAGTGACAATGAGTCGTATCGAAGGGCTTCTAAGATTATTCTCAAAGTTTTGTAATGTATGTAATGTACGAAATTATCCTCCACAGCACCGATTATATCACACAGAAAACAAAATGCATTCAACTACGCCTACAATCTAAGTGACATGTTATACGCATGATATCGCGTGATTATTCAGTAAGCCAACATTTACTGCTCCGAATAATTCAAATCTCTACCCTTGTGAATAGCTATGATATGTGAGTATTCGCCATCCAAATGTCAAGTCCATAGCAACCGTTCATTTGACATGCGTATAACTTGTCACTAACACATTAATGTATACAGACACCGATAGTGTGATATATTACCGATTAACAGATGTGCTGGTGCTATCGTCAAAGGTGACCTTGTGCTTGGGCCGTTTTTTGAACCAGCAGAAGTATCCGCTGCCGTCTGGAGACTGTTGGTTGGCTGCCAGAGCCGGCCTCAGCCAGTAGATCTGCTCCTCTTCCTCCTCTATCTATAAGCAATAAAGTCATTGTTAGAATATGAATTTTTTTTGAAGTATTTAAAATCAATAAACGGTGTGTCCAGAAAGAAATTTGTTAGGATAATTTGTATATGGCCTTATTTTCAGGTACTATAGCGGAAGAGAGTACAGGGTGGGCCATTAAGTTGAGCGGATTTGGAAAAATCATAGAACACATACTACAAAGCGGAGGGATTTAGTAAAGTAGAAACATAAATAACATCATTGAGATCCTCAAGCAGCAATTTAACCTGTGATCTATGTGAGCAGCATCTATATATTGAGTAAATTATGAGGAAGAAAGCACTTGTTAAGAATAAACAAAAAACCAAACAATCTGTCGAGATATACGCTAATAGACTAGGCTTGTCTATAGTCGAGGTACAATCCTGTATTTTGGAAAAGCTTTAGAAAGACTCTTAGTCTTGACTTACCTCGGTGACAGATCCTCCACTCTTGCTCTTCCTCACCATGGCCTGCTTATGGAGCACCCCCATAATAGCTCGTTTAGGTGAAGTGTCAGTCACCGTGTAGGTGCGACCGTTACCTACTACGAGCAACGGTTGGGTACCTGGCTCTTCGGAAGGAGAAGTTCTGTGGGAGTTCAGATGGACGTCGTGCACCAGACGGAGAGAGCGAGACTCACGGACTGTTGCGTGACCAATCTGAAAGAAAAAAGTGATGTTAATTAATTATCGGAGTAGTAATTCAGGGAGGATTTTGGATCATTTTGGTCGGCTGTCAGCAATTTTAAGGGCAAGCTGCAAAGTAAAAGTACTAATATGTGTAAATCAATGGGCTCTACTATAATCCTGTAATTATGGAGATCATCCTAAAATTTGTGTCCTATTTTGTGGATCTATGTCATATCAGCACGCTGCCAGAGTTTCATTTGCGAGAACTCAATCTCTTTTTGAATAAATGTGCTTTTTCAACTTAGGGAACAGGCGATAGTACGTAGTGTGAAACAAAAAAACCAATTTACAATCCAGAACTGCAACTCTCTTAGATGAGCGATCATCAACCAACTACCACCACTCTGTTGTCCAGCCTTTCCACCCAGTGGCTAGCAGATGCTCGCAAGAGCGATTTACTTTTGACGACAAGATGAAAGATGAGAAAAGCTGCCACAACCCACATACCCAGGATAAAAGATGGTTATGCCGTAATCGATAGTCGTAAATGGAAAGTATTCGATCGAAAAACATTAGGTTGTCTACACCCACAGTGTGAGCCGCTTCGAATCATTCCTGTTACGTATCGTTATTGAAATCTTAATATTCCACCTGGTACAACCCGGAGTTAAATTATTCCGAACACACGTCAACAAAGCAACGTTTAAATAATAAATAAGGGTAATATGCGTGAGTTGTCAACGGATCGATAATCGGTAGTCTCTGAAATGTCGGGCGCTGTTATTAAATAAAGTGAAACGGAGGCTTAAAAGCTTTGAAATTAGGAAACTATCGCTATGCACGCGTACCGCTGCAACAGTCTCCTGGAATTATTAACTGCCACTAAAAGCATTGAGTGGTATTAAATGTAAACCATAGTTGGTTTGGAAACGCTATAACCTTTCCAAGAGATAATACTGGATATGGAACTGTTTTACACATATACCTATGGAATATAGGCATCCGAGAGTGTCTCTTTTGTTTCATCGTAGCAGAATATTACGTGCCAAAAGCACATAACTTTTTTTTTCTATTTTGAACACATAACAGTAATTTGCCAAGCCCTTTTCAATCATTTTTTGCAAATTTTATAATTCATTGATCTATTGAGCTCGTAGCTATCTAATCTTGAAAGTATAATTTCACACATATGTATTATATCCTTCTTTCTTAGCGACTCAGTATTGTGTTGAGGTCTTTTGGATACTAATGTTATATATATATATATATATATATAACTTGAGACGTGGTCATTGTCGTCTAGACCAGTTAGGTGAAAAATTAAAGCTTCCGCCTTTTGTTGGGTACTTCGACAAAATTTAAGCAAAGAGGACTCTTTATATTTTTTTTAATTCTCTCTAGCTTTCAATGGACTTTGCCATCATCATCAGGAGCTGCAATTACAATGATAACAGTAGCAACAAAAGTGTAAAATGAATTTAAATTGACTTAACTTACAGTAGTATGTGAGGATGTTGCTAATTGTTGTTTACGTTCAGGATGAGGGAAACGCCCAGTAACATGGTGAACTATATATATATTATGACTTATTCGTTCTATCCCAGAAACTTCCTCATAAAATATCGTTTTCTAGGGGCTGTCCATAGTCAACCAGCGATGTTATATGTATATATGTAGGTTGGTTCATTTGCGGAATTTTTCATTCGTTATTATTTTTGGCACACATTTTGGTTTCGATATAGTTTTGATATCGATCTGGTGGAGTGTCGAATTTTGGTACGCCTTCCTACATTTGACACTGATTGACAGTCAACTGACTTAAGACCAGAAAGTTTATGTCTGCCCTTTCCTGCTGAAGCCTTGATTGAGAAGGTGCATCGGCCAATCATTTGGTTTCTAAATTTTGGAATATTGGGCCCCAATCACCAGGTTATCGAGTAGCACCATTTTTCTTTTCTACCTTACCTCTCGTAGTTTGTATCGGTTGTTGTTTGGCGCTATACTGTCTAGTATTTATATATGCGATTCTATAAGAATTTTTTTAGAAACGTTTGACAAAATTGAAGAGCAATATTAAATCATTGCCTCAAAACGTGACGCCGAACGTTGATAAATATATAGTTTCTATCATATCGATAAAATATTTCGTGGTGTATGAGTAAATAGTTAAAACTGCCTCAATAGATGTGCTTATTAATCTTTAGAACAGCAACGGTTCTGTGTAGTTGTATTCCCCACTATTTAAAAGCAATACTATCTTTGGTTGTCGCGCTAGTCCTATCTTAACTTATTTAGCGTTTACCCTAGTGAGAAAAAAGCCCTGCAACATGAGAGGAAACGCCCGTTCTCAGTCGTTCTTTGATCTCCTTAACGAGCTGTGCATTTTTTGTCGCTTTTTCGGTATACACTCACTGGAGGTGCATTCTTAGCCGACAACTTAAAGTGTGCTACATGAAAGGGGAGAGAGCCAATTGTCGTTGAGGTGAATGTAAAATGATGAAGCAAAGTGGGGCGTGATGTTAAACTGACCTACTTTCAGAGAAATAGCTGTGAATAGGTACATACAGGATGGTCAAAGTGTTTGTGAGACAGTTCCGATCAAATAAAAAGTAGCTAAGACAAAAGGTTCAGGGTACGGGTCAAGGTCATTCAGATGTTGAAGTTTTTAAATGGGATAGTATTTTTTGGCCGCACAGATGGAAACGGCAAGATTTCTACGTTCTAAGATGACCTTGACCATAACTTTGGGTCATTTGAAGGTGACAAATTATAATAAAGAATCGTATCTTTTTGACTCTATGGATCGTTACATTTTTATGCTCTTAAATGACCTTGACCATGATGCATTAATTTCAATTTCATGGAAACATAAAATTTGTCGCCCTTTATTTTTCAAGTTGACCTCTAAATGACCTTGAAACCTTGAAACGTAGAGACATGCGAAGTCTTGGTCTAACGCCTCCAAGTTCATCTAAATGACCTTGAACTTCGATTCAACACCATGCCTGATAAAAATCCTGGGATTTCGGTCTTGGCTTTTTTTGGTGATTAGTATTTTCTGAGGAGCGCACAGTTATAAAGAACTTTTTAAAAGTTATAGCATCTTAACAGTACCTGCTCTGGTGACTCCCGCGTCAGAGATATACGTATTCCGAAAAAAAAAAAAAACAAATTTACTATCAACAAAGACATACACACACTTGCCAAGAGGCAGAGTAATAATATACACGCCAGATTTTACAGAAGGAAATAAATCGTAAAATATACTGGGTCCCAAGGTCTTTAACATTCGTCCAAAAGATATGCAAGGAATAGCAAATCTAAATCACTTTGAGTATTGTTATAACACAAAAATGTTTGTATACTGTCTAAGAGTTTATCAGTGCGTAAATGTTGTTTATTACTGTGTTATATCTCCGTATATACTTGCTCTATTAACGATTCTTATACAAACTTCCTTTGTCCAACAAAAGTAAATTATTATTATTCTAGCCGTCTATATTCTGTATTCAGAGCAGCTTCGCTCCTTACATTCCTAGCCTCACATACGGCACGTAGAATTTCGTTCCGTTCGAACTTGTTGATCGACGCGCACTACGACCCGTCGCAACCGGCTACGGAATGATAACGGAGTTATGCGAGGCAGGAAACGTAATAACGGCCGATAGATGGCGCTGGCTGTCTCGTTGTAGAACATGCCGCGTGTCGATGCACGTTGTTCGTAGAACGTCGGATTTCGTGCGGAATTCTAATGGAAATTCGGACGGCAATAGGAGGAAGAGGAATATTTGAAAAGGATGCATAGTTGCGTATTTAGTCAATATTTTAGATTCAATCTGTTCTTAAGCGGGCATAATAATAATACTGAGGATTATTGTTATCCATCGGATATGAAAATAAATGTATTGGACTGGCCAGAAATCAATAGTTGCGAGCTAATGAAGTCACTGGTGGCCTAATAACATTTATCAAGCAAATAGTTCTTCAAAGCAGTTGATATGCTCACTGCACTTAATTTCTTGAGGAAGTTTATTATACATTAGCATTAGCATATCGACTAGAAAGCTCGCGAGTTCGAAAAGGGCAAGATTAAAGTGATTATCTGATTCTTATTGTTCTCCAACTTAAGTGAATCACACCGCCGACTTTACGTAATGTAACAAAAACACCGTTTTTACTGTTCAAAATCTAATTTGGCACTCTCACACTTGTAACCAATGACAATGTCGACTGGGCTATGGTGATCCGCGCTCAACTCTGTCCAGTTCTGCCCTTTATGTGTGTATTTATCTTCGAATCGACGAGTCCAGAAGCGTTCTCGCGTCTTCCAGATGAAACTAGAGTTTTCATCGAAACCTGGTAGATAGCGACCGATGCTTTTTAAAATATGGCAACTATAAGAAAACTGGAATCAAAATGACTTTAAGCTGTCCCTTGACAGACCCTTCCAATGTGTAAAATCTTGTAAAGGGCAAACCTAAAGTGATTACCGGTTTCTTATTGTTCCCCAACTCAAGTGCATCACATCGCCGACGCTACGTATTGTAACGAAAACACCGTTTTTACTATTCAGAATCTAATTTGTCACTCTCACACTTCCAACCAATGACAATGTCGATTGGGCTACGGTGATCCGCGCTCAACTTTGTCTAGTTCTGCCCATTATGCGTGTATTTATCTTCGAATCGACGAGTCCAGAAGCGTTCTCGCGTCTTCCAGATGAAACTAGAGTTTTCATCGGAACCTGGTAGATAGCGACCGATACTTCTTAAAATAAGGCAACTATAAGAAAACTGGAATCAAAATGACTTTAAGCTGTCCCTTGACAGACCCTTCCAATGTGGAAAATCTTGTAAAGGGCAAACCTAAAGTGATTACTGGTTCCTTATTGTTCCCCAACTTAAGTGCATCACATCGCCGACGCTACGTATTGTAACGAAAACACCGTTTTTACTATTCAGAATCTAATTTGTCACTCTCACACTTCCAACCAATGACAATGTTGACTGGGCTACGGTGATCCGCGCTCAACTCTGTCTAGTTCTGCCCTTTATGCGTGTATTTATCTTCGAATCGACGAGT